TAATTGAGCTGAAGGGAGCCTCTCATAGCTTGCAAGTCAAGTATAATGCTGACCTGTGTGAAGGCTCCTTCATTTCAAGCTGTTTTCCTCAGACTGGCTGACTCAGCACCCCTGCCTTGTACCAGCTTCCTGTACTGGTCAGAATTATTCAATCTTTTATCTGTGTCTTCAAGATTATTTTTCCAAGGCTGTATTATGACACTTGTCCTACCACATTGTAATCAGTCATCATGTTTATGTTTGTCTCTCTAACTGAACGGTCCCTTCTTGTGGACAAGGAGAATGCCTTCTATTGCCTTCCATCCATAGGGGTGATCACATATGGTGCCCATGGATATATGTTGAGTGAATGATGGATATACTTCAGCCTGAACTGTCAACGTTTATTATGACTGAGCACAATATATATTTATTTCTCTTTCTGTCTGTTTTAGATTGTATACCTCCCTGTGATTTAACTAAGCTATTTTTCTGTTTACAAACTTTAAAAGACAGCTTAAAAATGTTTTAAAGTTCTATGTGAATATAGGTTGAGTATGTTTACAGAGGATAGAATTCTTGGTAGCATTCAGCCTGGAAGTCAATTCTCTCCCTCAAAAGACACAGGATATCCCAAAGGAAAATAAACAGAACATTATATTCAGCAGAAATGTAGTTAAGCCTCTTATACCAGAAATCAGCTTTTCAGTGCAAAGGCCAAAACCATCACTGAGGAGTTCACCAAAGGGTGGAGTGGGAAATAGGAGAATAAGTAGGTTGTAATCCATAAAATCACAAGTGTTCCAAGAGGAGGAGGTTCTAGGAGAGCCTGTTGGGCAAAGAGCATGCCCACTTGAACACAGAGGGCCTGAGAAAAAGCTCAGTGAGGGCCCCTGAGCAACAAGGCATTGCAAAGACATGGCACACTGCTGCCTGAGGGCAGTCAGGGAGAAGGCTGACACAGGGGCCTGACAAGACAAGGGAAAAGCAAACAGATAAAACGAATAAAACAGAAGGCAAGAAGAAAAGAAAGTGCTGCAATAAGATTTTGTAGCCAGAAGAGAAGAGTTTTAGTAATATAGTAAATGGATCCTGATGAACAAAGGTGAAATGTATATGAATCCTGAAAAACATCTAGAGCCCCTTGCAACACAGCACAAGAGACAATGAGAGTAAAATGGAGAAAGAAAATAACAATGGCTATTCTGGCTAGGGATAACTTGCTAAGTGAATCGAAACTGGTGGACAAAGGGAAGCATATTCATATTTGTTTTAAATGTTCAAATAATTACTTAGTACATTTAGTTCATGCTTTTGCCATAGCATATGATTACATTGTTCTGAAATAAATTGCTTTTGGTTATAAGTCTCAGGATGAGAGCCCTGAAAGAATATTATTATGTATAACAAATGCTTCAGTGTGTGGCTGCTCTCCTCTACCCAAGCAAACATAAATAGCTCTTGATGGACTCTGCCTCTCCTCCTGCTTTCTTGTACAAGAAGAGAAAAAAACAAGATAGAGCAGAATTGGTGTCAGAAAGCAAACACAACCTCATGAAAGACAAGGTATTCCAGGGAAGAACAATTCTGGATAGTTAGGTAACAGGAATATTTAGTAACACTAGCAACACTGTAGACAATACAAACACTCCTTCCGTATGTGAAGAGATATAACCAATAGCAGAAGAGAAGGCATTCACATCCCATAAAAGGAAGAGGACCCACAGTCACAGATAAGATCCAGGAAGCTTTTAATTTGAATAAATTTCTTAATCAGGTGGTAGAGCCACCAGCACATATAACAATTTATGACTGTTTAGAGTTCCTTCATCAGGTGGTAGAACCACCAGCATAAATAACAATTTATGATTGTTGCTATCCTGAACTATTGTTTGTAAAGTCTCCCAATCCTTCTGTAAGCTTCCAGTGTCTAGCCCTTGCAATCTATATTTTGTGACAAAGTTAGAGTAATTATCCTGAGATAAACCCAACCATGCTACCTCCCTCAGAATCCTTTCCTAGTTGCATTCCACCACCTATGAAATGAATTCTGAACTATTCTAAGACAGTACTGAATATGCCTCAGAATCTGACCCCAAACTACCTTGCCAATTTTATCTTCCATTGACCACTCCCCACTCCCCTCATCTTTTTATTCTGCTACACAAGACTCTTCAATAACTCAGAAGCAACTCTGTATATTCAAATGTCTATGATGCCTCCTTATGCTACTTCCACACTTATAACCTACTTTCCACAACTCACACACCTAAATCATATTTATCATTGAAGGCCCTGCTCAAATGTCTTTTTCTCAATGAATCCTTCCTTGGGCCAATCAGTCACAATAACTGTTCTTGCCCTTATGTTCCAACCACATTATGCCAATGCCTGACTGTATCACCATTGAAAACTGATTGAAAACTGACATACTAGAATGTTGTGTGTGTCCAATATTCAAACTAGATAATAAACTCCTAAGGCGGAGATACACTGTCTTTTCCATCTTTGTTTTCCTCCTAGACAGTTTCAGCCAAATGCTTACATTTCTTTAATGCTAGCTAATTTGACATTCAATTAAAGTTAGTCATTATTCCAGGACTTATTGTTTATTCCTAGTCATTACGAAGGAGTTTTATTTTTAATATTTTCTATTCATAATTCATTGGCTAAGTCTACAGAAAGTGTACTATCAGACCTAATAACACATAAAAGTCTCCCTTGAAAGAGACAGAATTTTATATTCAGCAAAAACATAGTTAATCCTCTTATACCAGAAATCAGTTTTTCAATGCAAAGGCCAAAACCCTCACTAAGGATTGAATAGAGTGGGAAATAGGAGAACAAGAAGGTTGTAATCCATACAATCACAAGTGTTCCAAGAGAACCATCAGGAGGAGATCCGAGGGGAATCCGCTGGGCAAAGAGCATGCCCACTTGAATATAGTGGGCCGAAGAAAAGAGCTCAGTGAGGGCCTCTGAGTAGCAAGGTGGCTATTAAGCAGTACACTTAAGTCAATTATTTCATGTTTACTTAAAAACTCGATACAAAAATATAAAATATGATAATTCCCTTCAGTAAACAGATAAAAAGACATGAATTAGGTGTCTGAAGATTGGAAAGGATGAATAGGAGGGGCCAGAGGATTTTTAGGGGAATGAAACTTTTTTTTTTTTTTTTTTTTGAGATGGAGTCTTCCTCTGTTACCCAGGCAGTGGTGTGATCTCAGCTCACTGCAACCTCCGCCTTCCAGGTTCAAGCAATTCTCCTGCCTCAGCCTCCGGAATGGCTGGAACTACAGGCGCCCACCACCACGCCTGGCTAATTTTTGTATTTTTAGTAGAGACAGGGTTTCTGCATATTGGCCAGGCTAGTCTTGAATTCCTGACCTTGTGATCTGCCTGCCTTGGCAAAGTGCTGGGATTATAGGCATGAGCCACCAAACCTAGCTAATGGAACTAGTTTATATGATAATACACTAATGGATATGATACATGTCATTATACACTGTTTTAAGTCCATAGCATGTACAACACAAAGAGTGAGCTCTAACGTAAACAATGAACTTTGGGATGATAAGGATAGGTCAATGCAGGTTCACTGATTATTGCAAATGTACCACTCTGGTGGGGGATGTTGATAACAGGGGACACTATGGATATGTGGACATGGGGGATATATGAGAAATTCTGTATCTGCTACTCAATTTTTCTGTGAACCTAAAGCTTCTCTAAAAAATAGTCTACTGAAAAAAAAAGATTGGATGTCATAGCTCATACATGAAATCCCAGCAATTAAAAAGACTGAGGCAGGAGGATCACTTGAAGCTAGGAGGTCAAGACACCTAAGCAACAAGGCAAGATCTGTCTTACAAAAATGTTAAAAAGTTTTAAAGATTATCAGTGCGCCATGGGGTGTGCCTGTAGTCTCAGCTATTCAGTGAGTTAGGTGGGAGGACCGTTTGAGCCCAGGAGTTCAAAGCTTCAGTGAGCTACGATTGTACCACTGTACTCTGGCCTGGGCAATAAAACAAGACACAAACAGTATAAAAATTTAAAAAAAGAAAGAAAAAAAAGTTTATAGCTTATTTGTAGGATTAATACTAAAACATGAAAAAGTAAAGAATGCAAAACAGTGTAAAACTGAGGTCACTAATGAAAGACTTGTGTTAAAAAGTTGTAGAAAATATATCTAAGATTATAAGGCTAAAAGGAGACACAATCATTAAGAGTTGAAATGATAAGGAAAATAAAAATTTCACTTTTTAGAGTTTGTTCCAAAATGATAATCAGACATGTGCAAACCTCTGTATACAAAGTTGTATCTCAGCATAAATTATAAGCAATCTTGATATTCAACACTGAATTAAATAAACTATAAAATATCCATAAAGCAAATACACTAAAATGATTAAAAAGAATCCTTTCATAGGTATATGTGAGTAAAAAAATGATAATATATCAGAATAATATTTCTAATATTTTACAAAACTACACATACACAAAATTTTAAAAAGCTATAAAGAGAAGTTACCTCTGATCCTTGAATTAAGGAAAACATTTATTTCCTTCTTTTGCTTATCTCTATTATCTGCATTTTTATAGTATGCATTTATATTTTTCATAATTAAAAAAATAAAAGCTGAAAGATAATCTCAGTATCTCAGAACAATCTGAAACTAAATGTCAGCATTCCCTTTTCCTCTCTCTGAATCCAAAATTAGATACAATAAGTCCATAAAAAAAGTTTTGAAATAAATAAAATGCTCTACTTAAAGTAATAATAATAAAAAAGACATAGCCATTGTAAGTTTTTAAGGAAGGTATGATGGTTAATTTTATGCACAAACTTATCAGGGCCACAGGGTGCCCAGACATTTAGTCAAGCATTATTACAATATGCCTGTGAGTCTGTTGTTGGAAGAGATTAACTTGTGAATCAGCAAACTAAGTATAGCAGCTCTCAACCAACCAACTGAAGACATGAATGGGGACAAAGAGGCTACGAGGGAACTTTGCTTGCCTGGCTGTTTGAGTTGGGACATTGGTCTTCTTCGGTCCTCATAGTGGAATTACATCCTGGCTCTCCTGCTTGTCAACTGCAAATCTTTGGACTAATCACATAATTCAATTTCTTATAAGTCATATACATATAACTAGTCTCTTCTCCAGAGAAACAAAAGTGAGAGGAGATATATCTCTCATTACATTAAGTTTCCCATTGCTTCTGTTTCTCTGGAGAACTCTAATATATAAGAAATTATTAAAATTATGCTTGAATAAGGTTAATCTTATAATGGCATGCAAAGTAGAGTTGGGGAAGGCCAGAGGCTAAATATTGAACCAGAAATATACTGCAGAAAGTGAGCAAAAAGGATGAGTTGATGGCCTGGGGTAGAATCTGTGAAAAGGGGCAGATTGTCAGTTTCAGGAAGTCAATAGGACTGAGTTCTAATTTTAGCTGGGCTACTATGCCCTGGGGTAAGTCACTGCCCTTGCCTAAGCCTCTGATACTTCATCTATACTATGAGTTTGATAGATCATAACTCCTCCAGGGTCCTTTTCCTTTCAATGAGTCTAAGATTCTACTGTCGATAGGAAAAAATATTTAGAAGCTTTTATTCAAACTGTGAATACATTGGCTTAATTTTGTTGTCTTATATTATACTGAATATTGCATCAGTGCTCAATAAATAATACATTATACAAGTTCTTTTGGACATCAGGCTTTGATTTTAAGGCCTGGAACTGACCTGACTTTTGGCAAACTCTTTACAATATCAATTACCTTATTAACTTTGCAAACATATAATGGAAAAATGGGCACATTACTTTGAAATAGGTTTGTCTTAATCTAATTACCTTTCTGAAGGAAAAAAGCCAATATATGAGTATAATTACTTCCTATCAAGTAATTTATTGATAATGAAACATTAAGCACAGTCCTTGGTGCAATTTGAGGACAGTATACAGGGATTAAAATGAGGTTCCAGTATTCCAAACAGCCATGCCAGTGTGATATGTGTGAATTTTTTTCCCATTGGTCTGCTACGTGTAATGATGCCCTATGTCTAAGTCTAAGCCAGGGCAGGAGGAAAGAGTCTTGTTGAATTGATTCCAAATAGAAATTCAATGTCAAAGGTGAAAGGCATTTGAGTACTGGGCTTGAAGATTAACTTCCTGGATGTTGAACTTCATGTGATCCACATGATATATGATTCTGATTTTATAGATACACATGACTGAGCCTATCTGATCAAATTAAGGCAATCTTACAAACAAATCACTAGGCCACAGATGCAATAAGCCCACAGAGAGTGCACTGTCTGAATCACATTCATTAATGCCATCTCCATCCCCATCACACAGTTCTCTGGGTATTTCCAAAGTCAGATGTTTAAAAGACCACATCCATGATTCTTCTGTGGCAAGCATACTTAGATATTCTCTGTATAACTGTAAAAATCAAACAGAAAAAGAAAGAAAGAAAAAAGGATGGTACACCAAATCTCTTTTCAGCCTGTTGTCTGATCTCTTAGAACCTGGACACACAAACCAACTCTTACATTCATAAAATTATTTTCCTTCCTTTGTCTTGGGTTCTTTTTCCAGTGAAAACTGGATCTAACAGCATTTAATGTCCAGAAGCTTTCAGGTAAGGCCATATTTTATATCATATTTTATTTCTGGTCTTGGCAGTAAACTTGGAATTATCCACTAAGTCAGGATTTCTCATCTAGTCAACTCCAGGAAAAATACAATAGAGAAAGGAGAAACAGCCAGAGATCTTGACCAACAGGAACTACATTAAACCAGAAAAAAAGGTATTCCATGTATGCTCCAGTAAGAAAGTAAAAAAGGAAGGCTCAACATTTCTATCGTGAGGACTTCTTCCAGCAAAAGGGCTCCATAGAAGACCTTTCATTGACCTTCACCAAGGAATACCAAATATGTCATGACTTTCTTCAATTCCACCTCTTCAGTCCATGCTATCAATTGAGGTTTATGAGAGCTGAGCTATCATTTCTAAAGAGAGAGGAATTTGTTCCAAAAATATCTGGTTTTCTACCCCCACCTTCATTTATAAAACAAACCATCTAAGTCTCTCAGGCTATTTTTCCACAGGTTTGTTTATAATGTGGTAATGATTATGCTAATACCAGCTGGGAATACATTCTATGTGGACATGTTGTGTGAATGTGATTGGTGGGTGTGGGAGAGAGGTGGGGGCTGTATAAGTACATGAGGACAGCTATTCTATAAAATTATAGTAAATGCCCTCTTTTCATATTTACTAGTTTTTGTAAGCTCCTTCTCAAATGGGAAATAGACCATGCTTCCTTTGCAGAAGGATAGTTATTGAATAACGAACACCATGTGTTCTGCTACATCTTATTTGTCTGAGCACTCTGCAGCTATTTTCTAAACCAAATTAATAACAGTATACTAAACTGATTTCCCTAGTGAAAACTGCTGGCTACTACCAATGTCAATATGTATACCCCACTGTCCCCCAAAGCTCAGGTAATCACTGCATAACCAAAGTCTACAACAGTCCCAGAGTGAGGGCAAGGTAACTTTCATGGTACACAAGAGAAAACGGACACCGTCTAATTAAATGATACTGTTTACACAGCGATAGCACTTTCCCTACAAAAAGAAGAGAATGTGAAATTTCAGAAAAGACAGATAGCTAATGTGGAACTTGTCACCATCATCAGCTACGGCATAATAAAATGCACATGGAAAGTCCCTTGCAGCAAGCCCACTGCAGAATAGATTCTTCCTTCGTCTGGGTCAGAGGGTGTGTGTGTCTCTAAAGGAAATGCTACCTCTCCTTTGCTCCTTCACCCACTTGCGGCACAGTGAGCTTCCCACAGCATATATAGGATCTGTGTGCTGGGTGCTGCAGACACAGGGGCCAGAGGTTGGCAGTGAAGTCTCCTGGGTGGTGGAGGAAAAGGAAGTATCTCCTTCCTACAAATTAAGAAAATGCACATCCACATGGCAGAGGAGACAGAGCTTAACAGAGGAGACCGGGTGTGTTTAGAAACTGCCCCCCCCAAAAAAAATCTCTCCACCTTCACCAAAGCCAAGTAAATTGTTAGCGAAGACAATGCAATTCTGGTAGCCTACTGAACTCAAAAGTGATTCCTAATTTTTCTATTACGTTACTCCAAACTAGAGCTCCTCCTTATCAAGTATGATTTTTGCCACATCAATAGATGAGCATTTTTGTGAAGTCATACCTGAAAATAGGCTTCTGTTCTCTCAGCTAAACTTTCAATAAATGTTGGCAGTGATGGAAGTTTGGAATACTTTCATATTTCAAATGTGGTACTTTTGTTCCCAACTCAATATATAAGCATATATACTCATTATTAAAATGCACTCTATAAATTCCCTATTGGGGGACTTTTAGTTCCATTTGAACATCACAACTAAAACATTCTATTCATTCCATAGCATGTTCACTCTCTCCAAGTAAGAATTCTTTCTGGTGCTTTCTGATATAAACCTAAAAGTTCATTATAATTTGCACATGAAAAATACTTTTAATGCTTAGAATCAAAAGTAACATGAGTTAATGGTCCAGTCCAGCAGATAAACTTTTGGAGGTTTCCATCTGAAAGTCATAATATAACCTTTTATTCTGTGTGTCACTGGTACAGAAGGTTTTGCAAGGCAGGGTTCTTCAAACTGCAAGATGTTAAACAGATGTACAGCAGAGTCTTCCAACCCTGAACTATGAAGAGCCTGTTTTCAGTCTGTGTGTTGTAGCCTTCATTTTTTTAATTCCTTTATCAAGATCTTCAGGTTTGAACATTTTATTTGTGAAAATTTTGTAGTTGTTATCGTTTATTGAGCTGCATATATTTTAGAATAGCTAGATTTTAAAACATACTGTTTTTGAACTAAATAAGGAATATTAACTTAAATTTTAACATGTAAAATCATATTTTCAGCAGGATAATCTCTGCTTCTGATAGCGGGTGCTGGAAGCCCAATCCCAGGTGTTTTGAAGTGTAAATAGCCAGGGAAGAATTTGAGAAATGGGTAGAGATGCAAGAAAGAGGAAGGCATAAATTAAAAACAGACATGTTGAAACATTCGTTCACATGGACATTTTGGCTTTTGTTGTTCACTGGTGGGTTTTTATACTTAATTGTTTTTCATGTCACAAATGTCACTTTCTAAGACATAGCCATAGCAATTAGCCTAAATGTTCACCTAGCTGATGAAGCAAATTCTATTCCTACGTTAACCGGAATGACAAGTCCAAAATTTATTTTCAGAATGCTTGAGAGTCATAATCCTACCCTATAGACATGGCCATTTCCCCCATGTTTAACTGCATAGAAGCTTGGAGTTTATATTGAATCAGTATCATAAACAGGGCTCCCTAAAGCTTGAGACTCAGTCTTTGTAGTTGAAAGGCCAGTTCTGCCCCTTTTGTTCTTACCCATTTGTTACTTGAAGAGATTTCAGAATGCATAGCTCTAACAGAGTTAAAAGGGTGCTTATAAATGTTTTCTCCTTATTTAGCTTGATGTTGGCAGAGACCCTCCATCATTTCAATGAGACACACATGAGCAAAAAGGCCTTTATTTCATAGGCAGGGCTTTATAATATGGGCAGTTTCCTTCTCAAATATCCCTTTTTGCTATCAAACTAATCAGTACTATGGGGTAATTAAAGCCATACCTAGTGTAAGGCTGAGTTCCTACTTACTTAACCACTTCACCACCAAGCCCCTCTGCATCTACATTGACAGGGATAGAGAAAACAGCCCTATTTTTCGAAAGTGTGAGGCATCCCTGGAGAAAGGGAGTCATGGTAGAGGAAGAGCTATATCCAGGCTGTTCCTTATGACTCTAGCAACTGCAGGAACGTGGCTGAAAAGTTATTTACCTCTTTGAGACATGGCTTACTCATCTGTGAAGTGGATGATGATGATGATGATAGTGATGATGAAGGTTATGACTACATTGTCTATTTCATATGGCCTTTGTGAGGGATGATGCATAAAGTACTCAGGCCAATGCCTGACACAGAGAGCTAAATAACTGTTCACTGTCTTTACTTTGCCTCACACATACCTTCTGCTCCAACCAAAGTGAACTCCCTCTTTTAAATAAATCCTTGTCCCTTACCACTGGATTGCCAAGCATTTGCTGGCCCTGACCTTCCTCCCTGGTGGAAGGCTTTCTTCATATATTCCACTACTTCCTACCTGTGACAGCTCCCTGTCCTCCCTAATATCTGTTTAAAATTTTACCCATTCTTCAAGATACAGCTCAAATGCCACCTCCTTCATGAAATACATCCTGAACTCTCCAAGTTGTGACCTCTTATCCCATAGGATCTCCAGGTTTTTTTGTTTTTTTCTAGTTTAGAGGTTTCAATTTGGCATACTCCTTATTTAATGGAACATTATAATTATTGGTTCATGGATAGTCCCTCTGTTATATTTACATTTCTTTGTAATTCCAATCCAATCTCTAGGCTCTTCTTCCCATATGAACTATTCTATTTAGTATAACTTTTGCAAAATATGTACTGTTTTATACATTCATTCTCATTTATGTAACTGGACTCTGTGATAGATCTCATGCTCCTTTCTTGATTGCACCATGCTGGTTTTTACAACCCTTCCAAGTTGCCACAGGAACTTCTAATCATTGCATGATGATTACTCCTCACACTTTTGACAATCAACTACTGGTCACCAGAAATGAGTATGTTCATATCTGACCACTGTAGACCTGTTTGAGAATTTCCTTAATCTATATGTCAAAGAGAAGAATTTCAGGGTCATAGGAATAGGTGACCTTATTGCCTAAGTAATGCCAAACAGTTCTCTAGAATGTCTGCATCACTATGCAATGTCAACAGCAGTCCATGTTGGTCACCACATCTCTACATTACTGCCATTATTTGGCTCTCTCTGATCTTCTAACTCTTGCCACATTACATGGTCGCTTTAGTGACATCTTATTATTGCTTTCATTTGTATCTCTCCGCTTACTAATGCATTTAATCTTCATGGTTCTATTTTTCTTGGCCATTTAGCTTATAGAGCCTGGAGGGCTTTTTTAAATTAAAATGCTTATCTTTCCTCTTCACCCATTGCTAAATCATAAATTCCTTTAAAGTATAGGCTATTTTTCCTCTCAATTTTGCACTCACTGTAACACCTACCATGGCACCTGAAAAAAACAAATAAAATATGAACACAAAAATAAATGGAAGGTGTGGAAGTTTAAGTGGATGGGAATAGTTACATGTTGCTCTTACTAACTCTCTTCTTGCTAAACCCATGATTTCCCTTGGCCAGATGAACTGAAAATGGCAGCATCCACTTAATATCTCAAATGCCATAAAGAAGGGAAAGAAGAAGGTGTTAATGTACAGAATTCTAAAGTTCTATGCAACATTCTAAAGTTCTATGCAACATACATGGGACAGTCTCCTTTGTCCCATGTGCAGGGACACTCACTCACTATTCACTTTTATGGATCAAATGGATGTCAGGCTAGCAGTTTTACCTTGGCAACTTCAAAAGCTCTGCTCTTGAATATAGGTACATATTTCTTGAATATAGGTACACATAGGTATATTTCTTATAGCCTGGTATAAGAAAACTGTGCTGTTTGCCAACATTAATATACCCCAGAGAGTAAGTAGGCATTTACGCAGCAGCTAGTGCAGGAAGGTATATTTTCTGTAACCTTCCTGGTAAGGACAGAGTAATAATGGTCTTAAACCTAATTAACTCTACCATCATGGAAACTTCCTTGATGTATATCATAAAAGTTGCCAAGCTGATGAAAAACATAAGGGTTTTGGAGTTGGGCAGGCCTGTTTAGAATTTTGGCTCTGTTACATATCAGCTATGTTATTATTTTATTTCTCTTCACATCAGTTTCCTCATCTGCAAAATGTGGACAATGGTACTTACCTTACAGAGCTATTCTAATAACTAAATTAAATTATATAGTACTTGATAAATGGTAGTTATTTTATTGTGCCCATTATTCTCCAGCCTATTCCATATTATCAAGATTGCAGCAATAAAAGGATGCTGCTAATATATTAAATACGTATTGAAAAGACACGCTATACCTACGATAAATGAGTAAGTGGGAGATTTTCCTTGCAAAATTGAACTGTAATTTCCGTAGTGGGAAAAACATTTTAAAAATTAGCTTCTAGATTTAAGTTAAGTTCCAACTATACCACTTATTTCTGAGCTCAAGCAAGTCCCTTGACCTCAAACCAGCAGGCAAATCACTGTAAATAGAGTTAATGTTACCTACTCTGCAGAAATACTATAAAAATTTGAAGTGATTATGTGAATGCACTTCAAGACCTGCAAAATAGCATGAAACATGTTAAATATCACGGATATCCATAGTTTGATAGCACCTTGGTTATTACTGGTATTTAGGTAGTGCTGGAAACAATAACATATTCTTAACATAATTCCAAATGTCAAAAGCATTTTTCTAGAGATAAAAATTATGCTGGCAATTTTTTTTTACATTTTATGATATCATTAAGAGATTTCCACCTTTTATTCAATATTCTAGGAAATCAGAAGATTCTTCCTAACACTGAAGTCAAAAGGAGAGGAGCCACCATTTCCTTAACTATAAAACAACTGACAGAAGAAATATCTCCCTTTAGTGTCAGTGAAGAGTTTTGCTTCCCTGGAACAACTCTGATCTTATGAAATGTGTGACACTTGTAACTGATTTGCCTTCTTTCTTTTTGCTTGCTGCTAGAAATCTCAGAACCAAATTTGAGATCACTTCTGAATGTGCCGGACTACACAGCATGAATCCTGTGTTCCCACCTCATTCATAGATACATTTTTGAATTCCTACCCATATTTTTCTTTCCCCAGATTTTCCTATTGCTCTTTTACCATCTTGAGTAAAGATGGTTAAACTATGAATGAAAAGCACAATCTCAATGATGAGTCAGGAAAAAGTGAGTTTTGGACTTCCACTTAGAGCCCTTTATAGATCAGCAATCTTTTGTCTCTCTGTCTTCCTTCTGCCCTGAACAATACCAAGGCATCCTAGTCAGTCTTTCTTCATCTGCATACCACTTTAAAGAGCCCAGGGGTCTTCCATGTAGAGTTGTTACTAAGAAAATATCTTCAGTAAAATTCTAATGCACGTTGCTTATCATTCTTTGTATTGTAAGCACTAATCTTTAACTTTTGCTGTGGTTTTGCTCAGAAACATTTCTTTAAAAAAAATTTCCCCAGGCTCTTAGCCTTGATATTCTAATCTTTAGTATTCTGAACTACCTACAAGCCCGGGGCGGGGGGTTCGAGGTTGCGGGGGGAGAGATCCAAGATGGCTGATCACTAGCAGCTTGGGATTGTAGCTCCCAGTGAAAGCACAGAGAACGAGAGGATGCCATACTTTCAGACGAATTTTTGTTGCTCATGGACCAGGAGATTCCCAGCGGAGGAGCCCCACGGGTCGCCAGCGCAACTCTTGTGGCCGGTGTGGTGGTTTTGCCAGTGGCTTGCCATGGCGGTTCTTGGTGCAGAGTCAGAAAAGCACCATCAGTCTTAATGCTACTGTTTTATCCGGCACAGTGGGTTGCTCAGATTCCGGCACTGGGAATCAGCAAATTGGACATCCACTCAGAAACCTAATTAGAAAGTTGGTAATTACAAAGACGACAGATAGATAAATTTATAACGAAGGTTAGAAACCAGCCTAAAAAGGCTGAGAATACCCAAAATCAGAACACCTCTCCCTCTACAGGGGATCACAGTTCCTCATCAGCAATGGAACAAGGCCTGATGGAGAACAAGTGTGTTCCTTAACAGAAGTAGTCTTCAAAAAGTGGTTGATATGAAACTTCTGTGAGTTAAAAGAACTTGTTCTAACCCAATGCAAAGAAACTAAGAACCTTGAAAAAAGGTTTGACGAAATGCTAATGAGAATAGACAATTTAGAGAGGAATATAAGTGAATTAATGGAGCTGAAAAACACAACACGAGAACTTTGCGAAGTATGCACAAGTTTTAACAGCTGAATTGATCAAACAGAAGAAAGGATATCAGAGGTCGAAAACCAACTTAATGAAATAAAACGAGAAGACAAGATTAGAGAAAAAAGGATAAAAAGGAATGAGCAAAGTCTCCAACAAATATGGGACTATGTGAAAAGACCTAATCTACGTTTGATAGGTATACCTGAATGTGATGAAGAGAATGAATCCAAGCTGGAAAATACTCTTCAGGATATTATTCAGGGAAACTTTCCCAACCTAGCAAGGCAGGACAATATTCAACTCCAGGTAATACAGAGAATACCACAAAGATATTCCTCAAGAAGACCAACCTCAAGGCGCATAATCGTCAGATTCACCAGGGTTGAAATGAAGGAGAAAATTCTAAGGGCAGCCAGAGAGAAAGGTCAGGTTACCAACAAAGGAAAGCCTATCAGACTCACAGCAGATCTCTCAGCAGAAACCCTACAAGCCAGAAGAGTGGGGGCTAATATTCAACATCCTTAAAGAAAATAACTTTCAACCCAGAATTTCATACCCAGCCAAATTAAGCTTCATAAGTGAAGGAAAAATAAAATCTTTTGTGAACAAGCAAGTATTCAGAGATTTCATCACCACCAGGCATGCTTTACAAGAGCTTCTGAAAGAACCACTACACATAGAAAGGAACAACCAGTATCAGTCTTTCCAAAAATACACCAAAAAGTAAAGAGCATCAACCTAATGAAGAATTTACATCCACTAATGGGCAAAACAGCCAGCTAACATCAAATGGCAGTATTAAACTCACATACATTATTATTAATCCTAAATTTAAATCGACTAAATCCCCCAATCAAAAGACACAGCCAAAACCCATCGGTATGCTGCATCCAGACTCATCTCACGTGCAAGGATACACAAAGACGCAAAACAAAGGGATGGAGAAAGATTTACCAACCAAATGGAGAGCAAAAATAAATAAATAAATGAAAAGCAGAAGTTGCAATTCTCACCTCTGATTATATAGACTTTAAAGCAACAAAGATCTAAAGAGGCAAAGAAGGACATTACATAACGGTAAAAGGATCAATGCAACAAAAAGAGCTAACGATCTTAAATATGTATGCACCCAATACAGGAACACCCAGATACATAAGACTCATAAAGAGACTTATAGTGGGAGACTTCAACATTAATATTAGACAGATCAACAAGACAGAAAATTAACAAGGATATCCAGGACTTGAACTTAGATCCGGAACAAGTAA